CTTAAAAATTATGGACAAAATAAATGCTTACTTGGCCAGAGTAGAATGCAATTGAAAAGGGGGAGCATATGGACTACATCCATTACATCTTGATGAAAATTGACTTATATCTAAGAAGCCCCAAAAAAAAAATTGTCATAGATACTAGCGCCTCTAAAGATATTAAGGGAAGAAAATCTCAAACATTCGCCCTTATTACTTGTGTCATTCCCATGATAATGTTTATGCTCTCTCTCTCTCTCATCAGGTCTAATGGGGGAAATTTTGAAGGAAAATCGAGGGTCGGGTATGGGGATCTCTGAATTTTAAAAATTTCAGGTCGGAGACGGGCTGGGGATGGTATTGTTTTCCCCATCCTCATACCTGGCCTAATGAGTAATATATTTATTTTCACTTAATCATATAATATAATATAGCTATTTATGATTATGATATAATATAATCAACAACTATATAATATAATATTTATTTATTTAGTTTTGTCAATTGAATTGGGATTGTTTTGAGTTGCTGAGTTGAATTTTATAATTCTCTCTTCTTCTTTTTTGTCAAAGTTAGGAAGGGGAAATGGGGAAAACACACATACACGGGTACAATGTGTGTTTGAACCAAGGACCGCTTGGGAGCACACTAAAGGCCTGAGCCAATTCAACTAATACCTCATTGATAATTTTATAATTCAATGTAATTGAGTTGAATGATTATTTAAGATGAATTTTAAGTGTTATAATGTAGGATAAATAGGGTTTAGGGTTTAGGGTTTAGGGACCATTTACAAAATTCGACATACATAAATTCAAACACTAGAATCTTCAATTGCCAAAAATTGAAATGATGAAAATTTAATTTCTGTCATTTTAAATTTTTTTTATGTAATTTTCAATTGTTTCATCAAACTGAAATATAAAAGCAGTGAGAAAACCAAACTTTACAAAGTTGACAAAAAAGATAGTTTAGGCTGAAACTCAGTAAACTTATAGGTACTAAAGTGAAATTACTTATACCGTCAAATTATTGACAGAGAGATATTATGTCTCTATCCTCCCACTATCCTCCTTAGAACCCAATACATGTTTTGGAATCTAAATTGTCGTCTACTGCCAACTTAAATAAAATGTGGTTCACATAAAGAGGACAAAGGGTTTTGGACGACTGATATGACTCACTACATCATCATTCTTGTTTCTTTGCTTTTCTTGAGCTATCATTCACATTTCATTGTCTGTGCAAAAGTCTTCGCCGGTTGTGGTAGTAGGAATACCATTTATATACACGAATCTCGTGATTTCAATATGCTGAGATGTGCAGGCGAGCACGAGCCCCACATGCTGATGCGGTTTCGTTTGATAGCCTATTTATATGTACACAATTCGCTTTCCATATAGCTTGTCATTGCAAATAAATCTTGTATACACAGTTGTGGTGCCTGTACTAGGCTATACTACTATATTCTTGAGAGGGTGTATCACGTGTTCAAAGTTGACCCTAGTTCTTGCTGTGTCGACAAGTGGCTAAGGAGGAGAAAAACTTACCTATACCAGGATACTACTGCGGTGTTATTCTGAGCAAATCATCCATTGTCATATGTGTTTTAACTTTCCAACATGAAAACACATGATAGACTTGGGATACCTTCGCAGTGGCATCCTCATTACATGTAAGTTCTTCTCACATGATGTTCGAGTACGATGAACCCATTCTCGCAAAGGTGAGGTGGGCTAATTTCCAATTAGTAATAATATGTGATCACGAACTCAAGGGTAATGTGATTATGTGAGTAAGTTTCAGTCTCTCGTAGTTTTAATTTTGTTTTTCTGTTGAGGGTGCTTGGTTTAGTCTGAGTAGTTGGCTTTTTAGTGGCAGTGGCAGATATGCACTGATTTTTTATTTTATTTTTTTGGGTGGCTGTGGTTGGATAAATATCTTTTGAATGTGGTTGATGTGGAGCCTCCTGCATTGTGAATGAAATTTCTACTTGATGATTAAAAAATTTAAACTGATGAGCTCTATCACTCAACCAAGTTTGTATTTTATGTTTAAACTAAGTTTTTTTGGTTTTTCAGTTCAAGTGATAGTCTAAGCTATAAGGGAAAAAAATTTCTCTCACACACACTGCTATGGTGTCACGAGGATTTGAACCTAAGATTACTAGTCTGTAAATCAATATCATTTTTCATTGGGCATGGAAATTTTGTCGGCACAAATAGTGGGAGAGAATTCCTGAGAGGACACATGTGACATAAAATTAATTTGGAACTAAAATGTATTCTGATTTCTATCAGTATCATTCAATATGAGTCTGACCGATCAAAACCATATTTAGAATTGATTTTGATGCTCCTCAAACTCGAGACATGTGATTGGTCATAAAATCATTCATGAAAATTCTTGTACGTTTCTCATGTTTTAAATAAGATTTGCATGCGTATAAAATAATACCAGAAATCTACATTATAGTTTTTTAAAAGTCAAATGATATGATATATAATAGACGTGTGCGTAGAGTTCAAATTATTATTTGCACACTTTCAAATTAGGGTGTGTGGCAATTTGGTCTCTGTTTTAAAAAAAAATTAACACTTACAATTTTAAAATTATAAACCATTAAACCATTTGCACATCCGCCAGTCTAACTTTACAAATTAACCTTTTCCTTTTTGACATCTCCCTTTCTTACCCCACCCTAGGCCAGCCACCCAACGTAAACCACCCTAGGTTCACGATCTAGTAGTGGGTTAAAGCTCTGCAACCAATAAAAATCAACCTCCCTTCACCGGTATCATATCCAAGATCTAAAATATCGATGGTATTGAAAATATCGGTAGTTTAAAAATACGAAAATTTTAATGGAAATATTGGGTAAAAATTGAATAAAAACTACGAAAATTATAAGAAAAACTTAAAAAAAATTATTGAAACTTTGGAAGATGTTTATTCAGTCAATTATCTATTAGTTTGTCATAAAAAATTGGAAGAAAGTGCATTGCATAATGGATTAACTAATTTAAGTTGATTATATAGCGAGCTGACAAATACTGTTAGTGTAGAAAATATGTAGTAATTAATGAAAGAATATTAAATACACCATAATCATTTATATATAATGATTTACTACAATATTTTACACTTTATATATTGTATGGTAAGATACATGAGTGACTTAGTACCACAAAAAGTTCTTATGAGGTTCAAACTTTTCACTATCTTCATCAACAATAATATCGGAAAAACAATATCGATATTTTCCGATATTATCGTTGATATTATCGATATTTATACGATATGTATATGGATACGTTCCGAAATATTCGTGACCCGAAAAAACGATAATATCCTTGATATTTCGTTGATATTATCGATATTTTAGACTATGATCATACCCAAATGAGCAGTCCCTTTCATTGTAAACACATGCAAAAACAACAAAACTAAACAAAAAAATCAAAAGTGAAACACAAACCCATTAACCCAGAATTATCAAAATAGGCAAATTGAAAAAAAAAAATTCAAGAGAAAATAACGGTATATAGAGAAGGAGGAAGGGAGGGAGGGAGGGAGGGAGAGATACAGATACATAAACAGAGGTTGGAGGGTGGCTGCCAAGGTTTAAGTGGGTGGAGACTTCACGGTGTTGTTGATTGTTTGTTTTAATTTTTTAATTTTTAAGTTTTTAAAATTGATTTAAAGTTAACAATGTTAAGTTGGGGGTTAGGTTATAGGACTTCTGTAAAAAAACTATGAAGGGTACACAGAGGAAACACCAAATTGGGGACAATAGATCCTCTCCCCTCATGCTTATAATAAGTAGTTTAACAAGATTTCACGCAGACAACAAATAATAACCTTGACCCTGAAAGAATTGTAAATTACATAGAATTCTAAAATGACAGAATTTAGATTTCTATTATTTAGATTTCAACAATTGAAGATTTTAGTGTTTGGATTTATGTATGTCCAATTTTGTAAATGGCACTATAGAAATTATGAAATGAAACCTATTTTGGTATAAATTAGATTCAGGAATTTGATGTCCCAATTTTCACGGTTTTTTCTGCGCATCATTTAATAAATTCCGTGCTTAAGTTGCCAAACAAGATAATTTTCAATTTCTCCTCTTAAATTCCCGACTTTCATAGTTAAATCTGAGTTATTTTTCCTCATCCAAATAGAGAGTGATAGTTCAGCATATATAGAAAGACCAATGGTGTAAATATTCATTAACTTCAAAAGTTAGTTTTGCCAAATTTGAAAACATAGAAACCAAACTATTACATATTCGGATTTCATCTCCTCTTATTGCAACAAAATCCACATTTACATCTTCCAAAAATATAAAAGGATGTAAAAGCGGCTTTACATCTCCGACTTTACGTGTTCCCACTGGAAATGCTCACATATAACCAAAAGAACTTATGGCAAGAAGAAATTAAAATAACTTTATGAAGAAGCTTCTGTTATGTGTGCTTTCAAAAGCACTTTCAAGTCTTTTTTATCACAAGTAATTATTCTCAGTTTCTTCAAAATTCTCACGGAAACACTCACAAATAAGCAATGATTCTTTGCAATCGTGCTGACGGAGGTCTTTCTTTTATGCTATCGAGATGAAACTTCAACATATGATCATTTCTTACCGGGAAAAAAAAAATTATATGAGAGAAGTGGATGTGATGATTTCCTTTTTCCTTTTTGGTTTTTTTTTTTCCTTCTGGGCCACTACCTCCATTAAGGCCATGCACCAAGGCGCTAGGAGCATTTCTGCAGAAGTGGTGGGCCAAAAATTGTGGTGCTAAGGGAAAGGGTTGAGAGACAATTTTCCAACCCTTTAGGGGTGGAGGGGGCCATGATTTGATATTAGTGCACAAAACTGCTCACCGGTCAGTTTAACCACAGTGCACAATGAAATACAGAAAGCCAAAATAGAAAAGGCATTCTTGCTTAAAGTCAGCATATAGTCCAATAGAGCATCAATAATATTGATCAATAAAACTTTAATGCACCGTCTTGCTTTTGGTTTGGATGCAGTCCAACAAAAGAGAGCTGATGATGTCAGCTGTGTTGCTCTAGAAATAAATGTGACCCTAACATTACTCATACCTAACTATTTTACTAAAATTGGTGAACATAGGTGTATAACTTGTATAAATATTTCCATTTTTCAATTCGATCCGATCCATTCGTTCATAAAACTATTTACTTGATTGCATAAATGACACATGTAGTTAACTTTTCAAGATGATTTATATGTAACAGCCTCGGGAGTCGAGAGAGACGATATAGGGATGAAACAAGGGATGAGCAGCAGACTATGATCTTTGAAGCCTTTACGTCTACAACTAATCTCTCCGACTTATGATCCCGGGGATGGTCACAGCTTTGGCTGTAGGCTCTCTTGTATCTGCATTTAGTCCTCTGTAGAATGCTAGGTCCTGCATGTTTGTTCTTGATATATTTATATCTTCCGGAAAACAAAATCCTCATCTTTCAAACAAAGAAATCCTCACATACACCCGTACATAAACACAGCCTCCATTTTACATTATTGCTCTGGCCCTAACACTTGCAGCTTTAGAAAAATTTACATGATTTGGCATAGGCTGCATATTCAAAGGTGTTCGGATTGCAAAATCCTCCGGAAAACAGAATCTCATCTTCGAAAAACGAAATCCTCCACGCACCCTTACATGACACAACCTCCATATACATTATTGCTCTGGCCATAAAACTTAATAGACTGCACATTCAAAGGTGTTCGGATTAGGGTCTACACTGTCGGATTCTACCACCAGATAGGAAACCCTTTTTATCCATACGGACCCAGTGATTGAGATTGGGACTAGTAAAAGACTCCAAAATGTCGGTGAAGCTTTAAACTTTCGGAAAGGGACGTGTTTCAGCATAGCTGCACTCCTTACAATGACCAAGTCATTATGGCGACGACTTAATTAAAGAATTACAAGGATCCTCGCATTGTCTACGCTGATTTGAGATAGCTTTCCCTTCGGATAATAGATCACAGAACACACCCAGTATCAATTGACACAAACCATACATAGAAGTGTATGATCACAAATATCAAAATAAATACTTACGGTTCATGATGAAGATTTAGGTCAGTTAAACCTTGCAAATCCACTAGAAAGAATGTGACTGCACATTTATTGATGCACCAAAACTATGCAACACCCGTCTACATGCCAGTGCGTCTACACACGTTTCATGAAGAATGGATTGTCAAGGGGAAACAAATGGCACTAAAACCACAGGTAGCAGCTAAGACAGAGGATACAAAACTGTTACCAGGACGAAGATTAGCCAAACCACAGGATCAATTGTTGCCTTCATCCAAAGCATGGATACAGCAGAGCTCAGCAATCTGCAAAGTGCCGCAACAAGGGTAGTTTCACTGTTGCAGAACCAATCCAATGGAGCCATACCTTGTCTATGTGCTTACGCCAAACCCCTGCCTTGTTCTCCAGCCCTATCTCTTTGAGCATGCAAACCAGGCACTCTGCTCTGACTGGGCCTGGATTTCCTATAGAGCTACCACTAGTAGTGAAACGTCATGACCAGGCTAGGATAGCAGAGTACTACAACCCAAGAAAGCCATACCCTAAGATTCCATAGCCAGTTAAAGGAAAAATCCTGAGATATTAAAACCATCTCTAGACAAAAGATAGGCAGAGCAAACACATGAGAAGTAAAAAAGTTAACAAATGCAAAAACTAACTGGATTTTCCAACAATGCCTAGTAGAAGACTAAGTCAAATGCCATTCAAAACTAGTATTAGCCGATTAAGCATACCTCATGCAACTTCAATAATCTCATCCTGCGCATGAAAACTTCAAGGTATATCAGCAGCAGCATCCAATGGTATAGACACATAAAGCAATACAGCTTTCAATTATAATACTTTTGGAACCCTTTTGTGGCCTCTCAAATCCACCAACTCTAGGGACTCAAAGCCCAAACGTAAAATAAGTGTATTAGACTTGTAAGGAAAACAAGGTCACATGTGAGAGACAAAGCAGAGCATTCCCCTCAAGATATCCTTGCACAGTCTAAGATACTTTTGCACGGTCAATAACAAGTATATAGTCGCCCCTTCGTGGAATTGGATTGCGAAGTGAAACCTGGCTCTGATACCAATTGATGGAACCCCGTTCAAACCAAACTATCTGTATGAATGTACTATTGAATTAATTCCAAAACAATCTTACAAATCACACCAATTACAGCCCAATTGTACAACTATATACTGAACCAACTAAACTCGGCGCCTAATCCAACTGTTTGATAGCTCAATAACCAATTCACTGATTTTAAAAAATGACCTATACAACTAAAACCAAATACAAAAAAGAAAAAAAGATGAGAGAGGTGCAGGAGCAATGAATAAAATACATTATGGTTTTTACAATTAAAACAAAAACAACTGTAAATGATTTTTAAGTTTAGTTGTAATTCCATCTGCTCTCCAAACTCTGTCACTTACCTCTTTCTTCCCTTTTATCTTTTTCTCATTCATCTCAAAATATTAAAAACAAAAAACAGGAATGTTATCCAACAGGCACTTTAACTTCTCTTCATAAGTTTTCATTCTTTAGACAAATATAATTAGCATGTGCTGATATCTAAGACACTTCAGACAAATACATTTACATAAAAGAATGCATGCTTATGTCCTACAAAAGAGTAAATGGAGCAGTAGACTAGGGGGAGGGGGAGGATAAGGAGAACAAGTAAAATAATCGTATCCTCGCTATATGCGCTTAGAACTCATATTTTTCCACCACCAACACAAAAAAAGCTCACACAAAGAGCCTAAAATCTGAATTTTCTCCTTGTTTCACCTCAAGTAGCCTCCATAATTTTTCTACGTGAGTAAAGTATCCCACATTACACCAGGGGGTTAGGCTTAACTGTATAAGCTCCTTTTCAGAAAGAATCAACAGTCACAAAGGCAAATTATCATATGTTACACGAGAACAGTTGGAAGTGGTGCCAACTATTTAAGCCACTAGATTAGTAGTAAAAGCAAATAATACCTGTAAGCAGCAATAGTTATACTAATCTGGCTTTATCTTTCTATAGCTCATAATTAGAATTTGATAGTTCTTATTCACGGCTTACTCATGGGATTCTCTGGAGTTCTTTTATAACTAATAAAGCACAATGGCATTTAGCACAAAAACAAAAAATCTTCATAAATATTTACCTCTTACATCACTGCCTGAAACGTAGTTCAATCATCCAAAGGAATAGAAGACCTCAAAAGTCATTACTGCATTTAAATTTTAAGTTCAGATGAATATGCTTGTACCTTTTTGTGGGGAAAGCCTACAGAAGCTCCAGTGCACACAAGTTCATCAACTTTGCAACTTACATGCTCATAAACTTTCAGCCATCCACGTTAAGCAACCGAAGAACTGAACAGACATTGAGTTTTCATCAAATATTTCTCCTTAAAAGCAAATTTCCACATAAGCCATCATAACAGATCCACGTGCATACCACAAAAAATATATGTTAATAGTTAAAAAAAAATAAAAATAAAAATTTCAGTGTATCTTATTTCCAGTGTTTAAGCCCTCCCTTATAAACAATTTTACATTTGAACTTCTGATCTGGTTTATGAGTTACTTGAACATTACTTTCAAACCTGTATCAGATTCCAATTAACCCCACATCCTCTTAATCGAAGTCTCGAATCCACTCCAACTCAGCGTGTGCAAACTTAATACCCAAACACATGGATTCTAATACAGAAGCAACAAGAGTTGTAAATAGTGACCCATGTAAAATTGACGTCGGCATAAAAGTCCATGGTCCAACTCTTTTAATAATCTACTTTGTAGTAGTGATAGAACACATGTTCCTGAAATTCTTTAACACCCAGTGGTTACAATTTAGAACGCACGTGGTGCGCGGTCACACACACACACACAAGCCTCTTTAAATTATTAACCTTATCCACTTCAATGAAAAGGAATTTCACAGTAAGATGACAATTTGAATTAACTTAAACAATTTTTTTTGCAATGTCCTCAGTTCGGACAACGCTCACCGCACAAATACATGCACATGAGCACAAGCATCCACAAACACAGAAGCATCAATACATGCACATGAGTACAAGCATCCACAAACACAGGAGCATCAAGTCTCATACTCGAGAATGTTTAAAATTCCATACAACCTTTTGGATATAGCAAAACCAATCTCAACCTCAGATGCCAGTTCATAGCTAAAGGTGTAGCTACTAGGTACAAAAGATGTAGGAACACCCTTAGTTCAATTACATACCCGGAACTTCATTATTAACAAACAATGAACAACGCTTTTTTTGTTATGACTAAATTGGAAGCATATTTGCAACACATATGATAAGGTGAACCCAAAAAAAAAAAAAAAAAAACTGCACGATCTTTTGTATGGTTGAACATTTTCACCCTAATCCTAATATGATTTCTAAGGAAAGATCATACATGGTTCTATCAATTGTATAGACCATGACAACACATTTCTATACGAAATCTAAGAAGAACCTTGCTTCTAGCCACGCAACTCCCGAATAACAGATGGCTTCAATTGGTCCCCAGTAACTGATCGAAACTGTTTTACGAAATCACTTTTTGCAAGCTTTCCAACCTGCATCAAGGTGCCAAAAACAATTGACCCTTAGATTAAGTTTTCTTGTCCATATCTTCAGAGGAATAGACAATATGAATAATTTTCAACCAGTGAAAAGAAGGTTACTTGCCTTCAAGTCGCACACCAGAGAGGACAGTTCCTCAACTTTAGAAGGAGTAAGGTATTTCTGAACCCTCGAAACCAATGCGTCAATAGAGCAAAGTCTTCCCGTTTGAGCTGAAAGATCCACAACACAAAACCAGTTTCCATAAATGAAAGGAAAATAACAAATTAAAATTAAAACAAACAAAAAAGGAATCATACATACCTGGCACACGAACAGATGATCTGTAGCTCACAACACAATCAGGAAGAACATGTCTATTCATATTGGTGGACCATACCACATACCACTTAGGATTCCTAAGATCATCTACACCCGTATCGAATTCCGCACTAGAAGGGTGGCATTGTTGAGACCCTGCCTCAACTTTTTCAACATTGCCTAATATAACCCGGCACAAAATAATATGTTTTTCGCCATTATCATCCGGCTCCGACCGCCCAGCACTACACAATTCAACCCATTAAAACATCAATAATTGGAAAAAACGTATTAAGCACATATTCACTTACATGGACACAAATTTCATCCATCAAAATATCAACATCAAAAACCCAGATGAGACACATAATTACCTTAGGTGAGGTGCTGATAAATGTGACAGGTAAAGACCAACACCACGAGACTGAGGCCCAGAAACCTTGCTAGGCCCGCCAAAACCATGTGTCAAAATGCCTCTTATTTCGCTAGCCGAAGCGCCGTACCAAGCATGAACCACATTGGCAACGCCCCGAGCCACCTTGGTCATCTCAACTTGCTTTTGAAAGACCTCGTAGCGGGCCCTATCCAACGGCCCAGTTCGAACACACTGATGAATTGAAGTCACAGCAGCCGCTGGATCAACCCTTCTCATCCCTGAGAGAAACACCTGGCTCCCAACTGCGTAAGGCTTTTCTCCTTCTTTCAACAACTTCATGTTTGGCCACGGTGAACTCTTGTCCACAATACGCTGCCGTATCGACGAGGTCACTTCGTCTTCATGGACCTCATCTGTCTTTCTCTTACCCAAAACCCGACCCGGGACGACAACCCGATTATCGATACTTCTCTTCGGACTATCCAGACTATCCGACCCGTCCTTCAAATCCTCGCAAACAAACGCCACAGGGAAAAAACACTTGCCGTTTTCGTCAATCCAAGCAATCGATCTCTGAGCTCCAGTGCCCGAATCAATCTGCAACATCCGCATGAAGTCAAACAAGAAAGTTGACCCCTCAATTTCAACGCTGACCACCGCCTTGCGCTCCACGAAACCCGAACGCAGAATTTCAATGACGTGATCCGGCAAGTCGTTCCAGGACCCGTTCTGGAAGAACATGACCCGAGCCGGAGCCGCGCTCCGCTTGAAATTGGACGGGTAGTGGATCCGATTGCGCACAGAGCAACAACCCGACCCGCGACTGCAGACGCTTCTACGGCTCGCTGAAGAAGACGACGACGAAGAATGCGTCTGGGTCGGAACCCTAACGGTGACCGATTGGACGAGCTTCTTCTGTGTTGCGGCGTTGGCAGCCATGGGTTCTAGAGCTTCGAGCTTGATCGAGATCGAAATGACTCACAGAAGTCAAGAAAACTCGTAGAATCAGGGGTTTGTACGTCGGCGAAAAGCTTTTATGCGTGGAATTTGGGGGAGCCTGAAATTACCTAAATGACCCTCGAAGGCGGTTTGGGTTTGCGGCTTGTGTTTCTGTTTGCTTCGGCCCAAAGAAAATAAATTAAATGGAGAGACAGAGAATATGAGAATGCGTTGGAATTTTGATTTCGACGAGATTCGTTGGACCATCTTATAGTGCAGCACACAATCCTTGTGGCGCTAGGAAATCCTTCTGCCGTTGGGAAATGGATTGGCTTTTTGGAAGTCTCTCGTGGCACTAGGAAACCGACCACGAGGGGACATGCCGTACTTCATTTTCAAGATACAAATACGTAAAGCAATAGCCTTTATTAAAATACAAATATTTTAAAAAAAAATTAAAAACTGTGCTCCAGCTTGCCATATATATTCTCATATAGGAGAAATGGCGTTTCATATTCCCTTCACATTTGAGGAAAACGTAGAACGTCTTTTGACTTTAACCCAATCTAAACCATATTAAGCTTCATGGCCATGTGTCTCAACTTTCCTTATCTTAACGGTGATAAAATTTCTTCACAAATGAACATGTTATCTTAAGCGATTAATTTAATTGAAAACAAGAGGGTTGTCCGAAAATACTCTTATCCTGATAAGACATGACTTTGGCCCAGTTTGGGATTGCTGTCACTTTTAAAAAAAGTTGCTTATGCTGTGCTTTGAAAATAATTAGCTGTAAAGTAAAATAGCTCCGCGTTTGGTAAACAATATTTTTAAAATGCTGTTAGTACAAAAAGCAGTGTCAAAACCGTTTGGTAAGTTTTAATATAAAATTGTTGTAACTGTGAATAATGACTAAAATAGACATGATGTTAAAAGTGTTATGTACTAATCATGTGGTAGTAGTGGTAGTGATGGAGTGGAGGTGGTGGTGGTAGGGATGGCGCTTGTGGAGGTGGTGGTAGTGACAGCATGGTGGTGGAGGTGGCAGCATGGTGGTGGTGGTGGTGTTGGTTGTGGAGGTGGTGGTGGATGTGGAGGTTTTGAAAAAGGTGGTGGTTGTGGTGGTGGTGGTGGTGGAGGTGAAGGTGGAGTTGGTGGTGGTGGTTGTGGTGGTGGTGGAGGAGGTGGTGGTTGTGGTGGTGGCGGTGGTGGTGGCGGTGGTGGTGGCGGTGGCGATGGCAGTGGTTGTGGAGGTAGTGAATGTGGTGGTGTAAGTGGTGGAGTTGGATGTGGAAGTGGAGGGGGGGTTATTTTTTAAAATGAATGATAGTATTTTGGGAATTAAAAAAATTCATTAAGGGTTCATCTCTGCTTCTTTTGAAAGCAGCTTTGAAAAGCAACCCATAGCCTGCTTTTAAAAGCTGCTGTCAAAAGGCCACTGCTTTTAAAATAATCGAGATATTTTATTTTTACCAAACACCTAAAACTGCTTAACTTTAAAGTGAAGCAGGTTTTTGGCCAAAAAAAGCAATCCCAAACGGAGCCTTTCTATGATACATTAGAAAGATGGCCTAATTACTACTCTTGTCCTGATGGGTCTACAATGATAAGTTTTTCAGGTATATGTATTTACTTTAGGTAACCAATTTTACGAGGGTCATGGGTCTACAATGATTGTTTTATCAAATCATATTATTGATTTAAAGAAGCATGAGAATAGAAAAACTAACTTATAATCTACTCATATTTTTCTCTTGGAATTTAGAAGAGATACAAAATTCAAATATCCTCCCTCTCGTCCATTAAAAAAGAAAAACCAAGTAGGAGTATTCGGTTAACAGTTCCTTGAAATATTTGGGCAAGCTATAAGGCCGAAGCTTTTGCTTATGTTGGGCTTTCAGGGTAACACTCAACAACAAGAATTCTACTGGACCGGGTGTTCCTTAACCAAAGGAAAAAACCAATCAGGTTCGCTTCATTAGGGATTTCGAACTTTCGGCTTCCCAAAAGCAAAACACTCCCTTCATTGGTAGAAGAAGCAATCAATGTCCCCTGAGTTCAACAGGTGCTGTTTCAACCCAAACTGAAACTCTGCTTCTTTCAAATCTTCCACAACTGGGTGAGTGCTTCACTTTCTTAATTAGCCGCTCATGTTTTCTCGTCTCTTTTGCTTCTTATTTTTTCAATGAAAGAAAACACAAATTCATGTATTTGGGGCAAAACTCAATTTCTCTGCAATTTGGGGCAGAGCTCAAGAGTTTGCAATTTGGGGCAAATTAGTGTGCTTTATAGTATCTGCATTTTCCCAGCTGCTAAACAGGAATTTTAGGGTTTATGTAGTGTCTGCTAGCTTTGTATCTTTTGTTGGTAAAGTGTTTGCAACTGGATAAGTTAATGTAGGTTTACAGTGTTCTTGAGCATCGCCCATTAGCAATGTAATAACTGGGACACATCTTAGAGCTCTACTTCTTTAACATTCAAAGTTTCCATTGTAGAATTTCCTTTTGTTTGGATTTCTGATAGTTACTGCTTTACATAGTGACTACATATATATGATTTTTTTTATTTTTTTTTTGGGATTATGTGAAAATTACAGTGCAACAGGTCTGCCATAATTTAGGGTAGAAATGTCAGCTCCATTAACGCCTTCAAAGAGACCACATGATGAGAACCCTATAGAGCCAAATGGGAAAGGGAAGCTGCAAAAGTCTGAAAATCAACCTTCTAAACTCTCCTCTGGCAATGCTGTTTTCAGGGTACTGTGCCCTGTGTCCAAACTTGATAGTATCACTGGGGATGGTGGCTCTTTTATATCACAAATTTGTCAAGAGACTCTTGTAAAGGTCAGAGTTGAGGAAACTGTCCCCGGATGTGACGAAAGAGTTATTATTGTGGGTTCTGATAGAGAGAATGATGTTGATACTGAGCATAGCAAGGAGGATGGCGTTGAAGGGGAAAATGTGGATGAAAAGCATGATGATGCTAAGGATTCAAAAGAGAATGATGAAAATAAGGAATCTGTTCCTAATGACGATTCAAAATCTGACAACTTAACTCCATCTGTGCAGAACGCTCTGCAACTTGTGTTTGAGAGAATAATTGAAGGGGAAACAGAGACTGATGGAGGGGATGAACAAGGTGAAAAGTCTTTGACATTTGTTTGTAGATTACTAGTCCTTTCGACTCAAGTGGGATGCCTTTTGGGAAAGGGTGGTAGTGTAGTCAAACAAATGTCATCTGAAAGTGGGGCACAAATCCGGATCCTTCCTAGAGATAAACTTCCATTATGTGCAACAGCTTCCGATGAACTAGTTCAGGTAACGTTGAATGACACTATTGTTATTATACTGTCATCCATACCCATGAAAATAGCTCATATTTCAGTGATGATATGAATAACTACTGGGTTTCTGCTACTGGGCATTTGATATAATCATCATGGCTGTCAAAATTCTTAAGCAATTAAACATTGCAGATGAAATATTTTAGCATTGGGTGTCATTGTTTTACTGTCAATGCCTAGTGGCTTTGGAACACCTAAGGGAACAACTAAAAAAGAAATATTGAAAAATGCTGTCTTGGAGCTTGGCAATAATTGTGCATCACTGTAGGATTTGGTTCATGTTTCTTATGTTGATGATTTTGACGCATTAAGTTCTGTACGGACATCATATATCATAATTCTGCTGCAGATTACAGGGGACGTTGATGCAGTTAGGAAAGCTCTTGAATCTGTTTCTCAGCAGCTTTTGGAGAATCTACCTCGCGATAGTGACTCTTCCCTGTCCAACACTTCAGGGCCATCATCTCATTCAATTGGTCAATCTCTTCCTAGACCAGAAGTATATCCCCCACCCAACCGTTCTCAAGGAGCACCATATAGTGATCAGCTTGGCGACGTTGCAGATTCACATCCTGCTGCTCATCCACTAATACCCAAATTCCATGGAAGTGGTAGGATGAAGCCTTCACAGGAAGTCCTAACTTTCCGCTTATTGTGCCATGAAGAGAGAGTAGGAGGTGTAATTGGAAAAGGAGGATCCATAATAAAGACACTTAAGCAAGAAACAGGCTGTGAAATCAAAGTTATGGAAGGCGTGCCTGACTCAGAGGACCGTCTTATTATTGTATCTGGTCCTGCGGTATGGTTTTAACATTTTCTTCTTCTTGGACACTTGAGCTGTTTGTACACACAAAGACATAAAAAGACACACACATTCTCACAAACACAAGATAAGCTGTTTAACAAGTTAACTATTGCAGCACCCAGATGATAGGATATCACCTGTCCAAGATGCCGTTCTTCGTGTCCAGAGTAGAATATTCAGGGCTGCACCTAATAGCAAGGAACAATCCATGATGGCGAGGCTTCTTGTTTCCTCTAATCAAATTGGTTGTCTCCTTGGCAAGGGTGGTGCCATCATTGCCGAAATGAGAAAGTTATCTCGGGCTCATATCCGTATAATGGGGAAGGATCAAATTCCAAAATGTGCTCCAGATGATGAAGAACTTGTTCAGGTGCGTTTTCCTTAGTGCATGCGTGGTTCTTTGAGTTTCAAGAGGTTGGACATATCTCTATCTGGGGTATCATTATGTGAAGTTGCTGCTTTCGTGTTCTGGGTTTAATTATGGTGAACTTTATGTGGATTTTTTCATGTTTCTATTAATATGCCAGTTGGTGTACTATCTTTGCTTGTATGTAAATTTTCTTCGTTGTGCTATATTTAGCAATCTTAACATTTTTACTCACTGTGCTTGTTGCTGCAATGTTCCTTTTCTGACAGATAAATGGAGAATTCGAAGCCGTTAAAGATGCTCTTCTCCAGATCACCACTAGGTTGCGGCATCACTATTTCCGTGATGCATTTCCTTCTATAAATTATCCTCCAAATCCCGCGTATTTGGATCAACCTCCATTTCAATCATATATGAGGAGGGACTTCTCACCTCCAGGAATGCATTCTAATTTAGGCATGCCATTTCACAAGTTTGATGCAGTTGGTGGCCCTCCTCCACATGGTGTTTTTCATCCCCATGATGATCGTGCTCCTTTTATGCACAATATTCATAGATTAGGTGGCCCCCCGCATTTATCTGAAAGAAGACCTTGGGGTCCTCAGGTATTTACTTGTTGTGTGGCCTTTTTTCTCTACAGTTATTTTATCTTTTCCCACATTTTTAAATTTTTGTTGAAAATTCTCTGTTG